AAAAATTAGCAAGAGAACAAGTTTTAAAGACATCATTAACAATGTAAAAATATTAATAAAACAGACTACATTTAATGAAAGGCATGCAAGACATGAATAAAATGTTATTGAAGATTTTAAATACGTGGAGAAAGGGTTTTCTGAGAAAAGTTGACCAAAAGTTGGACCTTGGACTAAAAGTCAGACTTGGAAAATAATTTAAACTTATTTAGATAATGAGAAGAAGCCAGACAGATTGACCTCCTGGAAGCATGTGCTTGTATTTCAAGGGCAGCAGGGACAAAACCCTGGGCCATGGAGACACCCTGGTTGTACAGCTTGAGACTCTAGTCTTGCATTCCCACTGAGGTAATTTATTTACATTCCAAAGAATTCAAGATCCCTTCCATTATATTTCCAAAGAGACGCTCTTAAAACAGGGATTTGGAAGGAAGGCAGCTGCCGCCCTCTTCTACACTAAGATTAATTTGGAAGGGGTCTGTCCTCATCTACAATACAGATTGTGTAAGTGTCAGGTTTTATCTATCTGGTTCCACTGTGTTCTCCCAGAAGTAAACAAAGAGGCACAGAGAGTCACCTGGCTCTTATTTGTTGTGAAACATAGTAATAACAATCTACTCTGATCTAGAAACATGTGTGTGCGCTCGGAATATTATTAATAAATCTGGATCCTAAAAACTTAAATAATTATAATATCAAATCTTCTGAAATTATCTATAGAGTCAATATAATTTTAATCAAAACCCCATCACAGTTTTCAAGGAATAGAGAGTCAAGAAACAGATCCATGAAAACAGGAAAATTGGATCTGTGACAGATGTGAATCTGTATATAACCTGGAAGAAGTGCATCCTATTTGCTGTAAATGAACAAACAATTAACTATATGGCAAAAAAGTGAAAATGGATCTTTTCTCAAACAACACAAATGAATAAATTTCTGGTGAATTAAACATGTAATAAAATATCAAAATTTAAAGCTTGAATATAAAAATGAGGGTTTTTTTAACATCACAAACCTTATACAAGTAGTAAATGCACTAATTACAAAAACAAGGATTGGTAAATTTGTTAGTCAAAAGATATTATTAGAAAGTGAAATGGGAAGCCACTATTGGGATAATGGTATCTGCAACACACTTAACTAACATAATACATCCACAAATTTCAAGAATTCTTACAAACAAATATGGAAAAGACAAATAACCCAACAGAAAAATGTACGAAGGATATTAAGAGGTAGTTCACAAAAGAGGAAATATAAATGAATATATATATATAAAAATACTCAACCACAATAGTAATTAGAGAATTGTGAAATAAGACTAGAATAAAATCAAAAGTTTAGACTAGATTGGCCAAAAATAACAAATCCAATAATACAATGTATTATGCATAAGAATTACTATGCATAAGCTACTGGTGGGAATTTAAAATCGGTATGAGAAAATATTTTTGCATTATCATATAAAATGGAATATTTGCATTGACTATGACCCAGTTCTTTATTCCTAAGTTGAGTACATGTGTGTGTTATTAGGACACATGTACAAGAATGCTCAGAGCAGCACTGTTCTAGTATGCATAAACTCCAAACAACCTAAATATCTATAAATAAAAATCAGATATAGTGGGGTATTCACATAATGGTGTATACCACAGCTATTAAAATGATTTATAGCTACATGAATAAATCTTGGAAATACAAAGTTTAATAAAAGAAGTAAATTTCAAAAGATCACATATATCATATCATTTTTACAAAACTCAAAACAATAAAAATGAATAATATTTTATTTAGTAATAATGTAATAAAGAATGTTTATTTTTAAATATGGAAGTGATTGACACAAAATTTAAGACACTAGTTACCAGAGGCAGGAAAGTGAGAAAAACTGATAGTAAATGACTACACAGGGTAATAATACTACAAGACAGGTGAAGTTTTACTTCCTAAGGGTAGTGTTAGGTTCAGAGGTGCTTGTTTTATTGATTTACACCAAAATTTATATAATGTTATATTTATTCTTTTAGATACATCAAATGAAAATATTTAAAGAGACTATCTGCTGCCTATAAGATAGCAAGCAAATCACTTAAACATCTTTACTGGTATAATTGGCCTCTTTCCAGCATTACCCTCTTTTCAAAAGCCGGACAGTGTAATATAAGATACAATAATAATTTATAAATTATTAAGGGTGCATGGGGGAAAGGGAATGGGAGGGGGGGGAAAAAAAAAAGGAAAATGAGTGGATTCCGGGAACCCAAGAGGCAAGAGAATTTTGGGAATGATGAGGGCAACAAATGTATAGATGTGCTTTACACAATTGATCTATGTATTGTGA